TTTGGGGGGAGAAAAACGGGAAAGTGGTAAAACTCGGGAGGGGGGAGGGGAATGGGGAAAAGGGAAAATTGGGGGAGGAAATAAAAATAATGGAAGGGAGGAAAATGAGAGAAAGGGGAAAAAAACAGAAAAAAAGGAAGAAAGGAAAAGGAAAAGGAAGGAAAGGAGGGAAAGGGATGAAACCGGGAAAGGGAGGAAAAAGAGGAAAAAAGTGAAAAGGGTCAAAGCAAGGGAAAGGAGGAAATTGATAAAAAGGGGAAATCAGCAACACAAGGGAAAAGAGGAAAAAAAAAAAAAAGGGGGGGAAAAAGTGGGAAAAATTAAAATAATTCTAAAAGGGAAAATTATCGAAGAGGGAAAATAAACAAGCAACAAAGGGGAGGGAAAAAATGAAGGCGAAAAAAAGAACTCTGATCTAAAAGGGGGAAATATTCAAAATGTTTATTGAAAGGGAAAATAATATTGAAGGAAAAATAATTCGTATGAGGAGGTTATGAGAAAAAAAGGAGAAAGCTATTAATTAACAATGAAAATAATGAAAAAAAATAAAAGTAATGGAATGGGAAAATAACTTAAAAAGGGGAAATATCTTAAAGAGTAGAGAATCCATTAAAAAGGGGAAACAATCAAAATAAAGGGGAAATCACGAGAAAAGGAAAAATAATAAATTGAAAACTTTATTTTAAAAAGGAGAAATAATCTAAAACGCCGAAAAAGAACGGAAAAGCCGAAATAACGGGAAATGGAGAAAGGAAAAAAAAAAAAGGGGGGAAAAAAGGAAATGGTAAAGGAAAAGCGGCAAAATGGGAAAAACAGGGGGAAATGGGAATGAAAGAGAAATTAATTAAAAAATACGAACGTAAAGGAAAAATCAAATTCAGAATCGAAGAAATTAAAAAAGCAACCAAAAAACCCAAAAATGACCGAAAGGCCCGAGCGGCCCCGGGGAGGGGGAGGGGCCCCGGGTGGGGGAGGGGCCCCGTCACAACTTAAACCTCCTTTAACTTGTGACGGCATCGGGCGATGCCGGGGGGGG